AGCGGGGAGGGCAGGATGGGATCATCCCTCCCCAGCTCCTCACACCCGCAGCCCTGCTGGTGCTGGGGCCTGTAGCCTGGGGCTGGTGGAAAGTGCCCAGCACAGTGGGAGCTGGGGCTTTGCTTTGGAACCATCAGAAGCTGCTCCTGTGGTACCTGATGATGGATGAAGCTGCCTCAGGACTGCATTTCACTGCTACACGTCTCCTGGCTTTGCTGTAAATAACGCAGCTGCCGTGGTGGGGGAGCGGCGGCCCCCCCAGCCTCTGCAGTCACCAGGCCTGGCATTTATTTTTAATTTTTTTTTTAATTCTTCAAGATCTCCCCTTTCTCGAGGTCAGGGGCTTCTTGGTGAGGAGCCAGGATCCTGGCACGTGAAGCAGGAGCTCAGCCTGGGGTCCCTGGCCCTGCCCATCTTTGCAGTGTCTGACCCTTGTCCCTTCAGAGCAGGGTGAGGGGTGGGGACCCTGGATGTGACCCCGTGGCTGCACGAGGCTGCAGGGACATGCAGGACACACACACTGACCAGGCAGCTCATCCATTCACAGCAATCGTGTGATTCTCCAGCCTGGTGCCCCCCAGGATTACTCATCTCCAGGGAAGGGCCCACGGTGGGGCTGCTGGGTCCCAGCACATGGTTATTTTTGATGAGAGGAGTGGGTGCTGGCTGGGGGTGAGATGGAGGGAGGCTCTTGTCCCCAGCCAGAGGTGCCACCCGACTGAGCAGCACAGTGGCTGTGTCACTCACCCTGGCAGCAGCAGGACCCGGCGTGGTGCTGAGCTGGGGGGGATGCTGTGGTCCCCCCTGCACGTGGGGCTTCTTCCTGAAGGTGCTGCTGCCCTGTGCTGTGCCTCAGTTTCCCTGGGTGGGCTGGCAGTGAAGCACCACGAGGGGCACAGGCTGGAGAGGGGTCTGAGCAGCAGCACCTGGATGTGCCCAGGTCTGGGGACAGGGGGTGTCCCAGCAGGTCATTGCTGCTCCTGGAGCCTCCGGGCTCCTTCCCACCCCTCTGCTTCCAGCTCCCGTTCCCAGCCTGGCAGGAATATCCTGGGACAAGCGGGGCCCGAGGAGCAGAACCTCCCCTCGCCCTCAGCAGGGCAGGCAGGTGGGTGTGGGTGGTGGGAGGTCCTGGGGAGGAAGGTGTCCTCGGGCCTGGGAGCGGCTGAAAGAGCCGCTGATCTGGCGCTGCTGATGCAGCGATTGCAGGTTTGTGCCGGGCTGAGGAGGGAGCGCAGGGGGCTTGCTGGGCTGGGCTGGAACTGGGGGGTTTGCTGGGCTGGGTTGTTGCAGAGCCTGTCGCCCCGGGGGTCTGCAGTGTCCCCCTCCCCAGCTCCTCCTCCCTGAGCCCTCCACTCACCCGTGCTTTCACACATCCCTTGCCGGAGTTTCTCTGTTAATTAAATGACCATTAGAAGCCAAGTCATGTTTTTGCCTTAATTAGACTTTCCTGTGTCATTCCTCTGAGCTGAAGCTCTGGCCCGTCACATCCCCTTCATGGCTGAGGCTGGACCTGCTGGCCCCTCAGCCATGGGAGTGTTGTGAGGGTCTTCACTGTGTGAAGGACCAGGGGAATGCACAGGTGCTGTTCCCCACAGGGCCTGGAGCTGCTGGCCCTCGGACCAAAACAGCCACTGGCATCAGAGGCTCTGCCAAGTATCTGGGCTGTGTCCCCAAGCCCCTGCATGCCCCCCAGGATGGGCTCCAGGAACATGATGGCTCTGCAGTGCCAGGGCTTCCTGAGAGCACTGGGGTGGGAGAGGGATCCCCTTTGGGACCAGTTTAGGATTCTCCTGACATCCAAGCCCAAGTGGTGGCACAGGGTGGTGCACAGGCAGGGTTCGGGGTCAGTCCCAAAGGTGACATTCCTGGAAGACTGGAGGGGTTCTCACACCTCCATCCCTTCAGGATGACTTCCAGCCCCTTGGCTTAACAGGCACCTCAGCCCTGGCCCTCTCCAGGAGCTGCTTTTTTCCCAGCCCAGGGTGACAGCAACCTCGTTAGCTAATGAGCTTCCCCTAGTTGGAGTCTCCTGGGAACAAGCCAGCACCCTGGGCTGGGACAGCCAGGAGGTCAGGCCCCCTGCCCACAGCCCAGCCCTCTGCCTGCCCCACTGGTACTAATTGCTGCCTCAGCCTCATTAATCTTGATTTGTTGCCACTTTCTGCCCTCCATCCTCACAGTGGCCTTTGCCTCCCCAGCAGGGAAAGGTTTCAGCTCCCAGTGGGGAGTCAAAGGCTGCAAGGGGGTGTTTCCAGCAGCTGGGTCCCCCCAAAGCCCCATGACATCAGGGAGTGCTGGGCATGCCTGTGGGCAGGGTTATCCCAGGACATTCTGGTCCTTCTGTACATCCCCAAATTCCCTGCATGGGTCTGGTCAGTGATGAGGTGGAGGGGG